AAGCAATTGCTCTGCAACCAGCGCTAAAGTTCAACGGCGGAGGCCATATAAATCATTCCATTTTCTGGACAAATCTTGCAAAAGACGGAGGAGAGCCGAGTAGTGAGCTCATGGCCGCCATAAAGGTGGGCTTGGTCGATAGCGATAGAAGTTTTGCCCTCCAATACTGAGATAGTGAATCTTCAGAAAGATTTCGGGACGCTAGAGAATATGCAAGAGAAGATGTCCGCAGCAACGATTGCGGTACAGGGTTCTGGATGGGGATGGCTCGGATATTGCCCCGTTGCTAAAATGCTGAAGGTGAGTGGAAACTCTTAGGAGAGTCTGGGAGTCTAGCCCAAATGTTCTATTGGTTTTGGCTTCCTAAGAGCTGTACTTCCAGATCCAAACCTGCGCCAATCAAGATCCACTTGAGCCGACAACTGGGCTGGTTCCCTTGTTTGGAATTGACGTGTGGGAGCATGCGTACTATCTACAGTACAAGAATGTTCGTCCTGATTACGTGAAAGCCATCTGGAAGATCGCCAACTGGAAGAACATCAGTGAAAGATTTGCGAATGCACAGCGCTAGATGCAATTTTCATACGAGGATTATTGTGTTCATTTGTAATATTCCATTTAATATTTTGTACTTTAGAGTAGGTTCAATAAATCTCGTTTTTGTTTGGTCATTTTTTCGGAACATTGGGGAAAAGGCGATATTATTGTTGTGAGGGTCGCGTGACTGGCTTCAATTGCGCTCCTGCGCTCTCTCACCAAAAGAGTGGTCTGATTCTGCAGACTCGGCCTTCGAGAGCGCAGACGACCAGAGTCTGCGCGCGCAGCTTGTATCGCCTTGTGTCTCCTCCCCTGATTAGTGCCAAAGATTGTGAGAATTCCCAGTGAGACTGAAAATCAAATTTTTATTTTCCATCAGACTAAGCTTACAAGAATTACAAGATTTGTGAGCCTCGAAAAATCAAGAAGTTTGTGCAAATTCTCGTCATTAGTTTCTTGATGACACTTCCCTCCACGGAGTTGATGACACTTCCCACCATGGGAACGCATCGGCATACTCTTTGTGATCTGGATGACGCTGTGCATTTATCTGAATTTGGACGGATTATTGCGGAGGCATTTCATAGGCAGTCGTTGTGCGGTGTAGTTCAGAACATTCGAGGCGTGGCATCACTGGCATTGCTAGCTAGTTGACTCGACGCAGCACCTTAGTCATCGCAGCTTCATCCTAGTACCGTTCGTTTTACGGCCTCACAATCTTGGGATGTGCGCTGCGATGACTCCATTGATTTGTCGCCAAAGGGATAGCCGAATGAGCCGAGTGTGGAGCGCTACCGTGGAGAAAACTTAGCCCCCTTCGCGCCAGGACCCAATACACTCGAGGTGGCAGTGTTCTCTTGCGTCTGCGTCTCCCAAGTCACGAGCTCTCTCACTGTCTGTGCCTGACTCTCGTGTCAGCTAACCGGAGAAAACGCCGCCAGGTCGCGCGATGCCACGCCAGGACGTATTGTTCCACACCCTGCTGGGTTAGCTGGCAAAGAAAGCTGACTCGCACGCGATGCCACGCCTCCGGTGTCCTGAATAATACCCCCTTCTGTTAGTGTCACCTGATAGTATCTGACGAGATGATTAAGACTGCAATGTTTGATAGGTCGTTTTTCTCCGGTTTCTACGTAGAAATAGGTAGAATCGAATACTGATCGAGTACGCACTGGATAGTGCCTGAATCACATCGTACCCATTGTCTGTGGTGGTTTATACTGGATAAGAGGAGGGCGTAATTCCAGTAAGAGGGGGATTTTAGTGCGAGGCACCCAACGCTAGTAATACCACGTCTTTCTGCTCAAAGGGATTGGTTCTTCAGTGGGGGGGGGGGGGGGGTAGGAGGGGGAGCGCCTCTTCGTGTTCCCTAACGAAAGCAGGACTCGGCGTACACATTAGGGAATCTCTGGCGGAGAGGGGTCGTATTTGGTCGGTGAAGGGAGGGGGTCGTACTTGACCTAGTAAATTTTTTTCGAAACTTGACTCCATGCATCACGCGCGCTATCTGCATCGTTAGGAGAACTAATGCCGGGGGGGGGCATCTGAAACCCTTGGAAATCTGTACGATGTACCGAATGGCGCCTCGGAAGGGCGTGTTCACGGACTCAGTTCTGAGCGCGCCTGCCTATCTGGGTATCTCCGTGCTCAAAATGGTAAGTGGATGGATGTCGTCCTTGGAAATCGGTTGGGTCAATGCTCAGCTGTGTCACGCTGCTTTGCCCACGTTTTAGGTCTGAGCTCTTGCCGTCAAGCAGAACTTTTCAGAGGTATGCAGTCGCGACGCGCTCTCATTCGGGTCCGTGGACACGCCCTCTCCTGGCTGCGATATAGACCACATTTTAGCTTCCTGCGATGCGAAAAGTACACGAACCTCATGGTAGAGTCTGAAATCGGCACGTTTTTGCACCATTTCTTCGGCTTTTGAGAAGTTACATACTCCCAGGTAGATGCTTCTGGAAATGTTAAGTGCTCTTTCAAGTCTACTTCAATTAAGTTCTTCTCACCTTGCTAAGTCATTGTAATTGTCCGGTGAGCTCGAGGTGTCTGCTTCACTGGCTTTAGAAACCCTGAAATTGGAAGGTTCACGATTTCACATTTCGTGTAAAAAAGGTCGGAAGGGGCAATGAAGGCTAGAAAGGCGAGAAAAAGTTTCTGTGGAATTATGAACTGACCTTCGTTCTTCTTCTTTGTCACTGACCATCTGAAATGAAAGTTCAAAATTTCCACTTCCTACAATTTCGCCACTTTTTCTATAATCCTCCACTTAAGTGGTTCTGGTGTCCCTTTCTGATGTTCTGCTCCCCCTGCCTTGGCTTGTCCCTCCCACTATGTCGAGCCGGAAAGGGGCTCGGACGGCATTCTGGAACGAGCTTGAAGGAGCTGCGACCAGGGCACATCGTAAGTTGGGATCCCCTGCAAAGGGGAGGGGGTTCCGTTTGGTCGGTGGAGTGGAGGGAGGAAGGGTCGCATTTGCTTTTGACAATAAAGTTTTTCCTTGCTGGCTGGGGGGGAGTCATATCAGAAGAGGGACTCCTAAGGAGAGAGGTCATATTTTGCGATATTCCTTCCTACGGTAGAACGTGCCCTGGCTGCGGGAGCCAGATTCCTCAGCCTTTTCGAGTTCCCTTGGCGCCGTAAACTTCGCCGCCGAAAATAAAGTGTAGAGACTGCCACTTGAGAGGAAACTGGGTCACCTTGGAGTTATCTTTTTGACCCCGATTACTCCATCCGAAGGATGAAGATGGCTGGACGGTTATCCCTGATCCTCAGGTATCCCAAACATTCCTCCTTCTGGCTACTTGTTGCCGTCAACCCTACTCAGATGAAGAGTGCTTCAAGACAAGCTCCCAAATTCACGACTGCCACCTATTTTTCTTAGCGCTAACCTGCACTCCAGAAGTTTGCTTTCAAAATGAGCTGATAACCGCAGGTGCAAGGGCCTCCATGGGTTTTGCTAAACTGAATCACTGTTATCTCAATCGAATTACCGTACAGTCTTCGTCTCTGCTATCGAAAGGAGCTGTGAGAGTGTGGATTGTTGCATAGCCAGGGCAGCATTTTCTACCAATAGATGTCATTTCTTCGTCAACAATTGGTATAGAAGGCTGTCAGTTCTTACGTACCATGCAATTTACACGCCCTCTCGTTCGCAA